CCCCCTATTGGGTCGACCACGCCGCTCCCTCCAGCACAGCGCCCCCTGTTGCGTCGGCCACACCGCTCCCTCCAACAAGTGCCCCCTATTGAGTCGGCCACGCCGCTCCCTCCAACAAGCGCCCCCTATTGAGTCGGCCACACCACTCCCTCCAGCACAGCGCCCCCTGTTGGGTCGGCCACACCACTCCCTCCAGCAAGCGCCCCCTATTGGGTCGGCCACGCCACTCCCTCCAGCACAGCGCCCCCTCTTGGGTCGGCCTCCAGCACAGCGTCCCCAGCCCCGTCCTGTGATGTTGGGCTCAGCACTGACTCTGAAGAGCGAATGCCCCCTGCTGAGCCCCCTCCAACTCCTCCCCCCCCGCCCAGCTTCGTGGGTTGTCCTTGGGGGCCCTGGCCAAATACTGACCAGACCTGACCTTTGTAAGTTCCTTGGCGGCAGGGAGGTGGTGGTCTCCTGTTTGTACATCCCCGGGGCGGGGGGAGGATCCAAACGACAGGAAGGCTGGGGAGATCTTACACCATCTGTGCCCGATATCAGTGCTGCAGGCTGGTGTTGCTTAGACAGGAAATGTTGTTGCTTATTCATGAGCGGGTTAGATTCTCTAGGGCACGTCACCGTCCCAGTGGTCTGGGCAGAGAATAACGCTGCAGTGTGGTCTCTTTCCCGGCAGGAGGCTCCGGCCTGTCCTGGGAGAGAGCGGAGGATGAGCCCCGTGCCCCCGTCTGCAGCGTCCCCCGGCTGTTGTCCCGCGGTACAGGCTGACCCCGTTCCGACCTGCCACCGGCGCTGAGCGGAAGGATGAACGCTTCCGGGGATGCAGAGGGCATCCGGAGGTGCGTCAGCTGGCTCTCAGGCCCACTCTCGCTCTTCATCATCCTGGCCAACCTCTTCATCATCCTCGGGATCCTCTGCAACCGGAAGCTGCCCAGGGCTGCCAGTTGGTTCTTTCTCAGCCTCCTGTTTGCCGATCTCCTGGCCGGGGTGGCCCTGCCCTTCATCCCCAGGATGCAGTTTGAGAAGAGCCGGGGCTACCACAGCTGCTTCTTCATTCACGTGACCCCCAACTACTTCTTCCTCACCTTCCTGGCCAACCTGCTGGCGGTGCACTACGAGAAGTACCTGTGCGTCAGCTACCCGCTGCACTACCACCGCTTCTGGGTGCACCGCTGGGTGCCCCTCTGCCTGCTGCTGACCTGGGCACTGCCTTTGCTCTTTGCCTGCCTGCCGGTGCTGGGGTGGAACCAGTGGGGACCCAGCTCCAACTGCTCCTACAAACAGATCTTCCCCCCTGCCTATCTCTACCTGGAGATCTACGGCTTCCTCATCCCCTCCATCCTAGCCATGGCCTTCATGTCCACCCAGGTGCTGCGGGTGGCCAGGCACCAGCTGCAGGAGATCAAGAAGGTGCTGCGCTCCGGGCACCAAGGCCAGGGCCCCTCGGAGCTGGAGCAGCAACTGGAGCTGCGGCATGCCAAGTGCATCGCCAGCCTCTTCCTGATCTTCCTGGTGTGCTGGGTGCCCTACGTGGCCGGCCTGCACGTCTCGGTGCTGGCCATCCAGAACCACATCTCCATTGACAGATACACCCTCCTCATCCTCACCTGCGTGGGCAGTGGCAGCGCCGCCGTGGTACCCATCATCCTGGGGCTCAGCAACCGCCAGTACACCCAGTTCTGGAGGGACGTGGCGGCCAAGGGCTGCGCTGGCTGCAGGGCGCGGTGCTACGAGCGAGGGGAGGCCGGACGCCACCAGAGCAGGGCCCCTTGTCCTCAGGCAGAGGGGCTGGCTCCAGCTCCCAGCTGATGTCCTGGCCCCTGCGATGGAGACGCCAAACCTGCGACCGTGGCCTCTTGCCACAAGAAGACAAGGCTGGGATTCACTGGAGATGCAGCAGCTGAGGGGTCAACATGGACCTTCCGGAAGGATCCAGTGATTTACTGGGCCGTTATATTTTAATGACTGAGGCGGGTAGGTAACCTCATCCTCCCCCGCCCACACACGGATGCTGGGCTGGTCATTGCTGTTTTCTGCACTTTGGTTGGTCTAAAGAACAAGCGTGGGTCTCATGCCCCGTCCAATCAGATTTCGGTACGTTCGTTTTTCAAAGCAGGCCGTCGATTCCGTGAACGATCTCGGCTTCTGAGTGGCCGGTTCCTCACTACACGATCCACCCTCCTGCAACCTGATTGGCTGGGGTGGCTTCCATCTGGTGTGCTTCCATCCCACGACGATGCTCATCAATTATATTTGTCCCCCGGGGGTAAGACCTGAGTTTCTGGGCTGGTGTGGGACCCGATCCTGCCAAGGTCTAAAGGGTGCCCTGACCTCTCAGGGTCAGGGCCGCCAGAATTCTCAGATCCTTTGTTGAGGTTAACCCCGAGGTGAATGTGTGACGTCGCTGCGCCCCGTGAGTGCAGACTTCAGGGCGAGGTCTGAGGCCCTCTATTCTTGCTGCCAATGGGGCTGGGAATTCCTGGGGCCCCAGTACCCTCGCTGGTGCAACTTTAAGAGACTCCCTGCCCCCAAGTGCGATTAGACGAGAGCACCCCCTAAACAGTGGGGTTACTGCTGCTTGGGTCCCAAATCGGACTAGGGCCCGGCACCCCCGTGGGGCCAGAGACAGGAACTTCCAGGCCTTATATCGCTGCAAGGCAGAGCTCCGTTAGCAGCCGCTTTTCCTTCCTGTTCCCGCTAAGCCGAGCTGCTGCTGTGTCTGCCCGCAAAGCAGGAAACCAGAAGCTCCGTTTCCATGTGGGTAAAAACCGCAGCCAACAGCGAGCAGCGTTGGCGGAGACAGAAAGTGACTGGCTGGAGACCTTCCTTGGTGGGGAGAGGAGCCTATGGGATTCAGGCACCTTCGCCCCCTGTACGCTGGTGCCCAGGGCCGTCTCGGACCTGGGTGCCCTTCAGCCTGGCTTCATGCATGGTCCACCTCAGACCACCTCTCCCGCTGAGAGGCACAAGCGCCAGGCCATGGAGCAGGGAAGGAGGATCCCGTGTGGCGGGGTCCCTGCACCTGGAGTGGTCAGTTCTGGGCACATTAACCCCCCCAACCCGGATCCTGGACTCAGCCCAATGCCTCCCGCTGTGGGCTAATGCGTTTGCTGCTGGGCCCTGTTCCTCGTACTGCTTGTGCGTCACTGGTTGGCGGCGGGGGGAGCCCTGCTGAACGGGGGAGGGAGTCGGCTGAGCCCGGGATCCCGGCTCTCCTGGAATGGATAGTCCGGTTACCGCCTCCTCGGCCGCTGCAGCGTGTTCCCACCCACTGTTTATCCCACAGCCCAGCTCTCCTGCTTTGCCACTGTTTATTTTTTTCCATGACGCTGTTTCCAGGCTTCGTGGGGAATTTCCATCCCGGCTGGGCCTGCCCCACCAGCCGGCTCCAGGGCCCCGTTTCTGGGCTCCCTCCTTGTTTAGTGGGCGATTTCTGGGGATGGCAGTGTTGGGATCGAGCTGTGTCCCGTCACTCTCCGGACCCGGATCCAGCCCTGCCCAGGAGCTGGGGGTGGGGGAAGGACCCTGAGGGGGCTGGGACGCGCCACGGAGAGACCAGCCCGTTTTTTATGTCCAGCGGCTGTGAGTGAGGTTAGTGCTGAGGGAAGGGAACCAGAGCAAGGGCATCCAGGGGCAGGTCTCTCCAAACGGCTCCACCAGCACCCCCCAATCCTGATCCCCAGCCCCCCCCCAGATATTCCACTCCGGGCCCCCACCCCACTCTGCTGATGTCCCTCCCAGCTGAGCTGTGGCCGCCCCAGGGTGCCCCCACCACCCAGGCCAGGCCGGCGTGGGCTGGAGAACAGCCAGACGCCGGAGCGGAGCGAGACGGGCCCCCGACGGCTCTGTCCCTGTCAGGTCTCTGGGGACCTGCAGCCACTGGTTCGATCGCCGAGTCCCAGTGCGTCATTATTAACCAGCACGGTGCACAAGAGGCAGTGGTGGGAGGGGGAACCCCAGGAGCCCCCCGAAGCCGGCCAGGGCGAGGACTGTCTGAGGCAGGCTGCCCCTTCTGTGTGTGTGCGAGGGATGGAAAGGGGGCGCTCCTTTGTCTATACATTTCCTGGAGGTTCTGTTGCCTGCATGCCCCCCACCTGAGTCCAGGTGCCAGCCTGCAGCACCCCTATTCTTCCCCCGTTAGCTCTGGATGTGGGTGTCCATTTGGATGCGTCCCGTTCCCCTCTGGAGTCCTGCTGCCCTGATTGTGGGGTCCCCTTCCCCCCACGGGGCTTCCTTCCAACTCCTGGTGCCCTGAATCTTCCCTGGGGCCCCCCAGTCAGTCCTGGGGCTCATATCTCACACCCCTGGCCCTGGTGCCTGCATTGTCCCTTCCCCTATCTATGCCATCTCGGAGCCGTGTCCTGTTTTCCATATCACCCACCTCTTTGCTAAGCAAATGGGCGAGCCCCGGGATTTGCATAGGGAGCTGGCGCCATTGGAGAGACACGCAGGGCCTGCTGGCCCTTCACACCAGCAACGGGACTGGGGGTGCTGCTGCCGCACCCTCTGGCTTGAAGTCGTAATAACGAACACCATCATCCTCACCGCCCCAGCCCGGTTGGGTCTGTCCCTCCACCTGTTTGCATGCGCCCCCTCGGGGTTTGCATAGCCCTGGGTGCGCCTTTCCTGGCTCGCCCGCATCCCGCCACCTCTGCTGCTGGTCTCGTGGCTTCACTTCCTTCTCTGTTAGCAGGGAGACGAACCAGAGCAGGAGAACCAGTTTGAACCAGTATTTCTACCTGAACCCAGACCTGAACCAGACCCAGAATTTTGTCCTGCCTGCCAAACCCCCTGGAAAGGTGGGTTACCGGCTAACAGAAAGGGCCAGCATTTTTTGAGCTCACTTTTTAAAAAGCTGCTGGGATCGTACGTTCGTTAGTAGACAAGCCAAGGCAAGAGGCATGTGATTGCGGCCAGAAAGGCCGGGCACCGGCAGATGAGGATGGGCTGAGACTAGAAGGAGGCCAGCCCCCAAGAGCAGGGAGGGAGAGGGAGAGGGAGGCAGCGGGAGGCCCAGAGCTAGCCGACCACTTTCTGAGACTCCAGCCCGGGGAGAGAAGAGGTGGGATTGTCCCTTAGCAATAACTCTTCAAACCCAGGGGGAACGGTAACGGTTCGCTAATCCTTCTCCTCCTCCAGCAGGTCTCCTTCTACCCATCCCCACCCCCTGGGGCAGCTCCTCACGCCAACTGCCCCAGGCCCCAAGCTCCAATGTCTCTTTTCACCGCTCGGGTCCAATACGCCCGCGCAGGTATCAGAAGATGGTTCTTGAGTTCGCGCAAAGTGTTAATAAAAAACGACTGTTTGTTCGACAGCCCAAAAGACACTAGGAAAACTCCTGTGAAATGAAAGTTAACAAATAAATGAATGGTCAAACAATCAGAAGAGTTTCCGTTTTCCGTTTTGACTCTCTTTTTGGTGTTTGCGCCCACTAATATTGAGATTTGAGCTGAGCTGGTAACCGAACCGTTATTGTCTTTTGGTGGCTTGAACCAGACCCGGACCCAAACACCCTGAATGCAACTGAACCTGGGCCTGATCCGAACCAAAATAAATACCGGGCCAATGCCCTGCCCTTAGCACTGCCCAGGAGTGCGGCTGTAGCAGATGAGGTCGGAGGTCTCCTTCATCCCCTTACGATTCTGACCAGCCTCAGCATCTCTCACTGTCTGGCAGAACTAGGCATCCTCCCAGCATGTACCAGCTGGCTGGCGGGACAATATGCTGCTAGCGAGGGCACCGGTGTGGGCGTGAAGGAGACTGCCCCCAGAGGGGAGCAACCAGTGTTGCTGGAGTTGGGCAAGACACTAGACCCCCCCCGGGTGACTGTCCCAGACCTATAAGGAATAGGAGCAACTGTCACGGGGCATCTCTGGCTCAGGGAGGGGGAACTATGGGGAAGGTGGACCGCGGTTTCAATGGCATTACACTGGATCTTCTGCATTGACAACGAGAGCAGAATTTGGCCAGACACCTTCATCGTTTGCCCTTGGTTACATCTGGACACTGGCTGTTCCCTCCGGCCTGGCCTGCTTTGTGCCAGGAGCCCACAGTACAGAACCAGGGCAAATCAAACGGGATCCGAACACAGCCAAACCTTGGAACCAAAGTCCAGGAGCCAAACAACCGCTCAACTGCTTTGCATTTGTGTTGCTACCTAGCTATTGCCCACCAGCAATGTGTGCATGGGGCAGCAGAGACCTTGTCTTCTCATTTGGCTGCCACAGAGTTAATATAGGCAGGACATCTTCCCCTTCTCTCAGGCTTAGACCCAGTCCCCATGCTGTAGCCCAAACAATCTGCTCTCTGGGTGACTGTGTTGGGCAGGTGAAGGTGTTAATGTGGTTTGAAGGATGCCCATGGTCATATACCTGCAGTGAGGCCCCCTATCTGTGAGCTCCCAAGCTAAGGCGTCTCGAGTGGCTGGCACTTGGATGGGAGATGCTCCAGGTAAAAATTCAAAGGGTTGAAGGCCAGAAGAGACCTTTCCGATAATCTAGTATGACCAGGCCTGTGATTCCTTCATCATCCCCGTCACTTCTGTTTGGGCTAGAGCATCCAGTCATGAATTCCAGAGATGAAGGCTCCAGGTGAGTTGTTCCAGTGGGTAATTACCCTGGTACCAATTCCAGTGATAACGCAATCCCTGCGTGTCTAGCTAGGGAAGTGCTTGGAGATCTCTCAGGCTGAAAGGCAGCAGAGAGAGAGAGAGAGACGCAGGGCAGGGTTCTTGCGCCCATTCACAGGGGAAGTGAAAAGAGGCCCCCTGATTTCATTGCCTGAGCTGATGGCCTGAGTTGATCTGGGAA